CAAATTCCTCCTCAGGTGTCCGGAACCATTCAGCCTGGTGAGCTCACAACCAGCAGTTTCCAGTCTACAAAACATCTTACACATTGAAATGAAAACCTTCTTTCCTTTAAGTGAGAGTTTTAGAGGTCAAATGGCCCTCACTCATGGTCCATGTTGGTCATTATCATAACCAAAGTCTGAAGACTTACTCCTTACTCTGGGCCATTACAATGCAAATGGGCTTTATATTTCAGGAACCCTAGAAAATATATTAGGGGGTTCTTGCTCTCACCCTCTTTGGGGTTATTTATTTTTCCAGATAAGTATAAATTTAAGAAATACCAAAAACACAAAATAAAGGCAAACTTAGAGTATTTCTCTAACCTAAGCAGTATATATGGATTTTATTGACTTCACTCTTATTCTTTTTGTAGTTTTTCCAAGAACATTGTTACCTCTTCTCCTACCTTGGACAGTTTTATAGGAAATCCTACAATTTTGTCAGATTTCAATACGAGGGGATAATTATACTTTTTTTTTTTTTTTGAGAGGTTTTTGCCATAGGGCGCATGTGCTCGCCAGACAGAGAGAAAGCGAGAAATCACCCCCCAGGGGGGATGGCCATGCCACAGTCCCTTCTCCTCCATTCTCCTCTCGGGATCTTGGGCACACACACACACACCCGGCATGAGTTTTAAGCCACCGGGTCTGGGACTCAAACCGCGGTCGACTACATGGGAGTCCAGCGACGTAGCCATTACGCAAACTGCTGGTCCCGGGGATAATTATACTTTATGCAACAGTTCAAGTCGAAGTTATTTGCATGTATTTGTATGTAAAGATGGGAGCTCTTCAAAAAGTTCATGGAAAATGCATATGATGTCGACGGAAAAAACCAACTGTAAAATTAATAATTAATAATTAATACGGTTTATTTCTAAGCCAACTGTGAGTGCCCTAGGCCGGAGAAGAGACATACATGCCTTTTCTTGGGGTGATCATGTACAGGGGATCCTTTTATTTGCTTTTGAGATTGACAGACAACATTTCGTGAAGAGATTTTTCCCATTGGTCTGGCCCAAAAAGGCAGGACATGTAGAAGCCAGGGCTTGTAGGTTATAGGTGGGTTCCACAAATTCTAGGTTGGTGATTGGAAGGGAAGATCTGTGTCTTGGGAAGAGATTAGTTAAAGAAAGGCTTAATCTACATCTCAAGGAAAAGGGAAGTTCTGTGTCTTGGGAAGAGATAAGCAAAAGAATATACTGTAATGGGTTGAAATATACATCTCAAAGATACTATGCCAGGGACAGGAGGTAGGAAGAACCCTGTTAATAGAAAGTAAATGGTCTGTTAATGTTTGTGGGCATGACTTCCCCAGTCCCCTTTTGAAAAGATTTTGGAAAAATAGGAAAAGTAGTCAGACTTCTGTCCACACAACTTTTATTTCACTTACCTGGATAGTTCAGATGAAGGGAAAGAATCTTTGTACTTTAGGCAAAAAGAGGACATCACTGGGTTTACAAGCTTTGTGGAAAAAAAAAATCCAAGAAAAATAGTTACATTGTGTAATCATTGCTCACACACTAATTTTACATTATTTTGCTCTCATTGCTGGAGACATAGTAGCAGAAATAGAACCTATAGCAAACTTGAAAACCTCTAATAAAAAGAGCGGCTGTGACTGGACCGGGATGATTCTCGTTTGGGTTGGCAGGCCTGATATATTATGAGATATTTCAGATGTTTTTAATGAAAGCTGGGAATTAAAATTTATTTGTAAAATCTATTTTTATGCACTGAAAGTAATTCAGAATTTGAAAATGAAAATACTCTCTTGGCCAAATATAATCTGCCAAGTAAAACATGTCTGCCAGTTCACAAACTTTATATAAGGGTATGATGACTCTGGCCTCTAATCTAGTTCCATTACATCACTGTGATCCCAGTTCCTAAATAACCACTGTCTCTAGGGTATGATTAAGGAGTTCAGAATCACCAGCAAATTTTTATAGAGTGCTTATTATATGCCAGGGACTACGCTAAATACCTTATCCCAGTTTTTCTTCACAACTCCTCCTGTTATAACCCTACTTCAGTTGAGAAAGTTGACAATTGAAGGTGAGGAATATGCCTAAACACACAGAACTAGAAAAAGACTGAGTAACACATCCAACATAGCAAGACACACTTGGTAGTAGCAAGTATTGCGATTTCTTCTAGGTGAGTAGTTCTGGCCATGGGAATATTAAGTTGCCCAGGTGGTAAATATTGAACAGAAATACCATATTTCCTTCCTTTCAAAGGAGGTTTTTCCCATCCAACTACATTGCCTTGTGGCCTTGTGTTTAATTCTGTAGTCATGTGCATCCTCATGTTTTGTCTCTGAGTTCAGATATTTCTGTGAGTTTTATCAAATACAATCAGGCATTTCTTTTTGTCTCTTTATTTTTTTTTTTCCTTTTTTTCTTTTTTTGATATAGGGTGCGTATGCTCGCCAGAAAGGCAGAGAGAGACAGAGAGACAGAAAGCGAGACATCATCCCCCAGGGGGAATGGCCACGCCACAATCCCTTCTCCTCCTTTCTCCTTTCGGGATCTTGGGCACGCACGCACACACTCCCAGCATGAGTTTAAGCCATTGAGTCCGGGACTGAAACCGCAGTCGACTCTATGGGAGTCCAGCGACATAGCCATTACACTAACTGCTGGTCCCAATCTCTTTCCATCTTTACCTATCTAATCAATGTATCAGAACTATATGAAGCAATTTTTTAAAAATAAGTAGATGGAAAAAGTTCTGTAGTCATGTGCATCCTTAGAACTATTTTCTTTTAATACACCTAATGACCATAAATTGCTTTTCTGATGTATTTCTTAAATCTTCTGCTTATAATAAAAAAGAAATTTATTAGGCATATTTGTTTCTTGTACTTAGAGGATTTAAGGGGAAAATTTCGATGACTTAAATACTTCCCAAAATACCTCACAAATCTTAGAGACCCTTGAGAATTTATCCAAGTTTCAGAATCTCTCAGTGATAAAATGTCAAGAATCATGATTTTGTTGAAGCTACTTATCTTCATAATTGTCTCTTCATATTATGCATACTGACAGACATGATTTAACAGTTTTGTATTATAAAGATATACAATAAAGGGCCCAGAGAGGCCCTGGTCTTTTAACTTGGTTACTCCAAGTTGGAAATCAGATTTAGTGGACTGAAAACTTGAACATTATACTGTGTACACAATTCACAGGTGTTAGATTTTGTCATTTTACCAATGTTTATAAAGTAGTTACAATTGCCCTGCATGGTGCCAGGTGTCAGAGAACAAGCCCTGAATGTCCCAGACTCAGATTTGTATTGTTGTTAATACAGTAAACTATATTAGTATTCATGGTTTCAGGCATAATTACCCTTCTCAAAACACATAATTAAAAAAATAATGGCAAGAATTTTTCTGTTGAAGAGCATAAGTCATATAAGAATGGAGTTATTTTATTTTATAATTTATTATATGTATTACAAAAATTATTTCAGAAGACTCACTTTCTGTCTTGACTGATTTATATAACTTTACCATTAAAAAAAAATGAACTGCATTTGTGTAAATAGCTATGCTTCTTTGAGTAATTTTCTTTTAAAACATGCTATAAAATGTCGTCATTCCTTCCTAAATACCAACAAACCGGAATTGCCAGGAATTATGTTGATACCTATTATGGTGACTAAAGCCTTAGTTGCCAGTTAGTATTGCCTGAGAAATGTGGCCCTATTTAAATATAAAGCTTATTGGGTGAGTTATTTGAAGCACTTTTAACATAAAATCAGGCCGTAGACTTCTGTCTATAGTGCCCCAATTAATTTTGTTTAGCTGAAAAGCTGGAGACTTTATTCTTAATTTAGGCCAAACATAGATTATTACTGAGAAATAGGATTGAGTCAAACTATACAGTTAAATTGGTAAAAATATGCCAGCATTTGTGTCTTAAACTAATAAAGTTATAAAATCTGAGAATCGAAATGGGATTCAGAAGTTACCAGATAAATTCCTTATTTGACACAGTTTGTTAATATACACACAAAGTCTCATGAACTCATTATGAGTTGGTTACTTCTTATGTGGAGCTTGTCGATTACTGGGATAGCACAATGGTAAGAAATTCTTCCTGAAATTAAACCAGTATCTCTAACATGTAGTTCCTCCAGTGTTTACAAACTTATTTACAAAACTGCCTTTATAGTTCTAAAAAGGCAGTTAGAATGTTTCCCATGGATTTCTCTTCTTCCCACTAATTCATTACTTGAATGATGAAGTTCAAGACCTTTTACCATGCAGGCCATATTTCTTTAAAATACACTAGAGTTGTATATTTAATGGAAATGCCAGCAGTGGTCACTGTGTTCCACATGTATTCGGACCAAGCAGAGCCTCCTGGGAATATCATTTCTGATGTGATGATAGTAACCATAAGATTCTTTTTCCCTCCACATTTAAATGAAGGTTTAATACTCTTAAACATCTACCAAAAGGAGATTACAGTGCATGATTTCATAAAATGAACTTTGCTTTTCAGCATCACAAATATTTGGAACACATAAAAGTCCAGGGATGGATATTAGAAGTAAGAAAGATATAAAAGAAATATGCTTTAAAAGTAACCGAAAGAATAAAAAATGTTCCCGCCCCTTGCCCAAATCCAAGGAATGGTGATCTAGATCATCAACAGGGTAACTGTGTTACAGGCTCATTCCTTTAATGAGGATGAGCTTGCACAGAACTGTATATCCAAGTGTGTAAGGAGATGCTCATGCATGTCACACATACCAGCATGTACACCCACAGGGACAGACACAGCTGGGTTTTTGTTATTCCAGGCACTTTATACCCACATTTCTGTTTCCACCTTCCCATCATATCTGACAAATTACATTTTGGGAGGCAGGACATTTTCTTCAAAGAAGCCCTGATTGACAACATTCCCTGCTGGGGAGTATCTGGCCACCTCAAGGAGGACCAGTCACTTGCACATGCCTTTCCCATTCCCATCTTCTTTGTATTCTTTGAGACCATGGCTGTGAAGTGTCCTGTTCTGAAGGTGAAATCAGGCTGCTGGAAGTTGTAGTTCTTGATTTCACTGTACCATCTATCAGCCATCTCCTTTCCTGTCTGATATTAGGATGCCCAGGCCAGGTTCTCCTCGCACTGACCACAACTGGACTTTGGGCCTTACTTGAGGAACCTTGTGCTATCCAGGGCCTCAAAGTACTGCTGAGCCACTTGGTTGAGCTTCTTGCAGGGCGTCAGTTGGGTGACTCCGGGCTGCTTCTGGTATTCATTGTGATCACTTAGGACCTCATTGTTTAACTCTTTGGAAGCTGACTTGCCCATGGCTGGCTTTGCACGTTCAAGATTCTTTTGTTTTTGAGAGATTTTTGCTATACAGCACTGTGCACTTGCCAGAGAGACAGAAAGACAGAAAGTGAAAAATCACCCTCAAGAGTGGATGGCTACAATCCCTTCTCTTCCATTCTCATCTCTGGATCTCGGGCATGCACACACACAAGCCTGGACAGTTTCAAGGGACTCGAACCACAGTCGATTACATGGGAGTCCAGCAATGTACCCATTACACCATCTGCTGGTCCCAGTAACCATAAGATTCTATTCTTTTCTTTTCTTTTTTTTTGGAGAGATTTTCACTGTAGGGCGCGTGCGCTCGCCAGACAGAGAGAGACATAGAGACAGAAAGCGAGAAATCACCCCCCAGGGGGGATGGTCACGATGCAATCCCTTCTCCTCCATTCTCCTCTCAGGATCTTGGGCACGCACGCACACGCGCCTGGCGTGAGTTTTAAGCCACCGGGTCCGGGACACGAACCACGGTCGACTACGTGGGAGTCCAGCGACGTAGCCATTACGCTAACTGCTGGTTCCCTTTTTTCTTTTTTTTTGAGAGGTTTTTACCATAGGGCACGTGGACTTGCCAGACAGAAACAGAAACAAAAAGTGGGGGGATGGCCACGCCACAATCCCTTCTCCTCCATTCTCCTCTCAGGATCTTGGGCACGCACGCACACGCGCCTGGCGTGAGTTTTAAGCCACCGGGTCCGGGACACGAACCACGGTCGACTACGTGGGAGTCCAGCGACATAGCCATTACACTAACTGCTGGTCCTACCATAAGATTCGATCATCATATCCTGAGTTTATTCTTTTTGTTGGTAGTTAAATAATTTCACTTTTTCATATTATATATGAGTCAGTGGTATACTTTTAAAAAAATGATTAAATATGGTTGACTGATCACATATTTGTGTGTATGAGTAGACTGTCAGGAAAATTTAAGTTTAGTTAAAAATGTTTGAGTTCAGCACATTTATTGGCTTATTTTGTTTTGTTCTTGTTTTCCACTAATTTCACAATTGTATCCTTTGTAGAAAGAGATCAGCTAAAATGAAAATAATTTGTAAAGCAATTACAGTTATACTTAGTAGTCAGCTTTTTCATTATTATTATTTTTTATTTATTATCATCATAATCTTCTTTAAGTAGTCAGCTTTTAACTGGTTCATTCATAAGTTAATTCTGTGTGTCTATAAGGTAATTCACTCAAATGTTCAATTAATTAAGTGTTTTTTTAAAGAATTATTTTGTTTAACTTTATTTATTTATTCATTTATTTCATTTTAATTTGACCAGAGAAGGATAGAGCAAGAGAGAAAGGAAAAGGGAGAGAGCAAGCCGCCAAGTCCAGGACTTGAACCATGGTTGGTCACGTGGGAGTCCAGTGCCCTTAACTACCACACCACCTACCGGCCCCTCAATTAGTTAATTATTAAATTCAAGTATAATTCTGAGTGGTCACTGTATTTAAAGCACTGGTACAAAGAAGGAAAAGAAGATTTATTATAGTTCCTTCTACAGAGAATTCATAATCAATTGGGAACAAAAGAGCTGTATAAGCACAATGTAGTAGTGGTATAATGTGAAGGGTATAAAACACACAACCATTTATACCTTGATCCATCAGTCAGTCATATTCAAAAGTCTATTAAGAACCTACTTGATGTTTTCTTTCTATCTTCTAATGTGTCTTGGAATTCAATTACTTAATATTTTTTGTTTAATTTTATTCTTTGTTCATTTAAGAGTGTGTACTTATGCATGAGAGAGAGAGAGAGAGGGAGAGAGAGAGAGAGAGATGAGTACCTCCCACAGAGTCTAGTTATGCCATGATCCCCTTTCTTTAGTCCTCCAACATATTGAATCTTGTGTACTCATGTGTATACTTGCCAAAATGGGCAGTGTGTTTCAGGCCAAGCAGGCTGAAGATTGGAACCACAGTCACCACATGGTATAGAGTTTCTATTGAGCAGTGTATTACCACTGGGTCACAGAGCTAGCCCCAGTTAATGCTGACATTTGTTTCAGTTTTCTTGTTTGGCATTATTCTTCTGAAAAAAGTAGTTGAAGGGAAAATTAAAATTGAGTAATATTTCCGTCAGTCTCTCAGCATTTCTAAATGGAGATTTTCCTGTTATCTTTCTAGTTTGATTCCATTGTGGGCTGAAAACAGCCTTTCTTTTATATATGTGGATTTTTTTAATGACCAATATGATCTATTTTTATTCCATGGATATTTGAAAAGACTGTATATTCTGCTATTGTTGGGTGAAATATTCAATAATGTTGATTAGATCTCCTTTGGTGGTTGTATTGAATTCTTCTAGATCCTCACTGATTTTTCTCTCTGTTCTAATGATTGTTAAGAAAGAGACGTTTAAATTTTTATAATTTTAGATTTGTTTCTTTCTCTTTTTTGCTCTATCTGTTTTTACTTCATATATCTTTCTCCTCTGTTGTTTGGGGCATACATATTTAGAATTGGTATATCTTCTTGGTGGATTGGCCTTTTTTATTGTTATATAATGTCCTTTTTTGTTTCTAGTAAATTTTCATTTTTCCAAAGTATACTTTGTTTAGCTACTCCTTCTATTAACTTCCAATATGCCTATTTTGTTTTATTTGAAGTAAGTTAATTATAGAGAATATATAGTTTTGTCACTTTTTAAAATCTACTCTTATATCTCTGTCTTTCATGGATGCTTTTGAGTTATTTACTATTTATTTATGTTATTAATACTTTTAGTTCCAAAATTTTTATTTAGTTCTTCTGCATATTTCCTATTCTTTACTGAAGTTTTCTAATTTTTAAAACTGTATTTCAAGTATATACATATGTAGTCATTTAATCACTTTTAGCATGGCTGTTTAAAATATGCCATATTCTATTATCTTTGTAATAGCTCTTTTAAATTTTAAAATGTATTTAATTTGGTTATAAAAATATTTATTTTAATTGATAAATAAAGATAATTTATACTTTTGACATACAGCATCATTTTTAATGTATGCATACATGTGGAATGGCAAATTAAACTAATGTGCTTTACCTTAGATTCATTAATTTTTGTGATGAGAACACTTAAAATCTACTCTAACAATTTTTTAAGTATACAATATATTTTACGTATGTTGATACGATTGTGTGTATATATATATATATATTTATATATACTTTTGTATGTACATATATACTTTATAAGTATATTTTTCCATTTATTTTTTTCTTTAAAAATATATTTTATTCGAATATATGTGCTAGATGAACAGATTTGGTAAAATAATGAGAGAAATGAATAAAAACAAATAGACTCAATGAATATTCAATGAATACTTTCCATCCCTAAGACATAAATAATTTATATTTATATATATTTCCTATATATGTACTTAAAAATACAGATACTATGTTTTCTTTGTTCATTTGTTTTAGTCTATTCAGGTTGCCATAACAAAGTACTTTATATTGGGTAATTTATAAACCACAGACATTTATTACTTATAGTTCTGGAGGAGGGAAACTTAATAACAAGGCCCCAGAAGAGTCAATGTCTGGTAGGGCTATCCTTCATAGATGGTGCCTTGTTGATGTGTCTTCACATGGAGAAAAGACAAGGCAACCCCCTTCAATCTGTTTTCTAAAGGCACTAATACCATTATTGAGGGTGAAACCCTCATAATATAGTAATTTCTAAAGAGACCTCACCTTCTAAAATGATCACATTTGGTATTAATTTATAATATATGAATTTAGGGAAGACACCAAAAATTCGTTCTATAGCATTCTACCCCTGACACCTCCAAGTTCATCTTTAAAGAATTTGTGGAAAACAAAATTTAAATATAAATGTATTTTTAGTACAAATTAAAAAAAAATGTATGCATATCTTTTATTTTTTTAAATTATGTGGATTTTCCATGAACTTTCTGAAAATTCTTTGTATATCCAGTACTGAGATTGCTGGATCATATGTGGTACTATTTTTTATTATTATTTTTTTTTATAGATCACAGGTTAGTTTATTTTTAACATCCATCATGCCATGAATTCATAGGGAAATGGTTCCAGAAGCTCAGACTCCTTTCCAGTAGTTCTCACAAAGTGTGCTTCATTGGGTGGAGCAGACTGACCTTTCGGTTAAACTCAGATACCTTTCTCTTTGGCTTCCTTCTTTTCCTGGTTATTTTTCTTCACACATTTTAGGAAGCTATCTCTACTCTTAGAAATTTAATATGCTCAATATGAACATTCATCCTCTTGGCACTAATTTTGCCCTTAACTTGTTTGTTTACACCAATGCCAACAGCATGCTGGGCAACACTGTAGGCTCTTCTAGTTTTGCCAAGATAATATTTGTGGGGCATTTCTTTTTGAACATTACCTATTCCCCTGGTGCCTACAGTATCACCTTTCTTGTACATTTACATGTATATTGCCAAAGGAACTGCTCCATGTTTTTTAAAAGGCCTAGAGAACATAGATCAGGTGCCGTTCCATTTGTGTTTGTCATTTTGGTGAATTTCTGGAAAATGGTGGTTCTGGCCAAAAGGCTCTATTTTTAATTTTTTAAAAAATTTCCATATAGGTTTCCATAGTTGGTTATACTAAATTAGGTTTCAACCAACTGTCTACGAGAGTTCCCTTTTCTCCATATTCTTGCTAACACTAGTAACAGATAGTGATCTGTTGCCCTTTATTTTTCATTCAGTTTGCTCGAGGGTATGTACACTTGCTTGACAGAGAGATAAGAAAAGTGAGAAAGCATCCCTCCATGGGGGATGGTCACCCTCCTCCACTTCTTCTTTTGGTATTTCTTATACCCATAGTGTATTTTTTAACTGCTGGGTCCGGGACCTGAACTGCTTTTTTTTTTTTTTTTTTTTTTTTTTAACTTGTCAGAGTATGTGCACTTGCCAGAGATAGAGAGAAAGAGAAAGCAACCTTCAGTGAAATGTGGTCATGTCACAGTTAATTTCTCCACCCC